TCTCTTCTGTGGACTCCTCTAAAGCCTGTGGAGATGAGTTCAAGAAGATGAATTCTTCATAGAACTGAGAACATCACAGAAAACCCTGAGCATCTTCTTCATCTGTAACACAACAACAGAGTGTCTGCAGTAAGAGGCTTCTTAAGACCAGCTCTAAGAGAAACCACAGCAGGAAATATTTTCTGCCAACATCAGCATTTACAACAGCTCTTTAAAGGAAGCCTTCCATGAAATACAACAATATTCAATTTCCCTTTCAGACCAATTAAGGTTTTTTTTTCCAAAACACTGTTTACATTTGATCACTGCAGCTCTTTAAGAAACGGAAATGTCATGAGAGCTGTACAAAACGAAATTGTGTTTTGTATACACACTCTATATATATATAAAAAATGACAATAAAGGTTGTCTATGTCTAAGTTTTTTAATTAAACTGAACTGGTATATTAAGCTCTTCTTTGAAACAAGTATCTACCTCTGGTCCTCTTTGGAGTCGCAGGTCAGATTTCATCACCTTTACTTATCTCTCAATTTACTTGGCTCTATACTAAGTAAACATGCAGGTTATGCAGTATGGCTGTGGGTGGGATGAGAGTAGCTGTTATAGAGACCCTGGCATCTGATTGGCTGGTTCACATTGAGCAAGACAACTTTTTTGTAATGACTCTAATATGAATGGAAATGTGTAATGTGTTGAAATGTATCCCCAGCATTCTGAACAGGGATTTTTCCTAACATATATTATAGCATTGTCTTTTAATTTGCAAACTAGGTCCCTGGCCAAAGGCTGATACTGTTCAGGGGGTCTTGATATGAAATGTTTGTGAACCCCTTGTGTTAGATTATAATCACAAAGCAATAATATGTCTGTTTTACTATGTATATCTTTTTTTGTATTTTAGATACATTTGCACCAGTTTCCTATAAACTGACAACTTTAGCACAAATTATTTAATTAGTATTTAAACCTGGTTGCAGCAATACTATTTCTAAGATGAAATGAGGGGTGCAGCTCTCACATATAATATGTATACCACATTTACACCACACTGGTACTTAAATATCAAAGTAAACAACCACTGATTTTATTAATTTATATCATGCCACTCTACTGAAAACATCTGTACTCAATGATAAACATTTATTTAATGTGGGATACTAGAAGCAAATTATAATTGACAGCCTGGTCTACTTTCCTATTTATTTAGATTATAATTTCCTGTTCACTTAGTGGTGTTCACAGCCTGATGAAATTACATTACCAGATGGTAATTCGGTCCAAAATTAAAAGAAAAAAAGAAGGTTGTGACTGTAGAAAATATAAAACACTCGACAAAGACAAAACTATAATTTTTGTCTTCACATCCTTAATCCCAATTCACACAATATTCAAACTAACATAAAAGAAGTTGATGTACCCCAACATGTGCACTGCAGTGTTGTTTTCGTCAACGATGGCGAAATCATTTCGTTGACTCCTTTCGTTGACTCATTGTTGTTCGTTGGCTCCTTTTTTCATGACGATAACGAGAACTGACAGCTAACAATTGGTCATGGGTGTGAGTTTTCACCGATGAGACTAAATAAAAATGGTAGCGGGTCTGTCTGACGTTTAAAATGCATCATTGTGCTGTAATCTGCTTAGCAGTATCTACGTCCTGTAAGGTCCTGCACACCTGCTGCGTTGCACATTCTGCATGACCACAGATGGACCATGGCGGCAGAGGCAGGGGTGAAATAGAAATATGATAGATGTAGAAACATATAGTTACCAGACTATGAGTGCGAACTGTTTAGTCTGATCACTACTGGGATATATTTGAGCTCTAACATACATAAGCCAGTCTAAAATCAAAGTGAAAAAGTAGAAAGACGGAAAATATGGATTTTAAAATTAAACCCACCCTTTTCCATGGTTCAACACCCATAGGAAATTTCAAAGGGACATGAGTGTAAGTTTTTCGCGTGTTTCTTTATGAGAAACACACTTGAATATTATAGGGACGGAAAGGAAGAAAAAGTCCTCTGAAGACAAAACCATGACCAGACGCCACTGCCGCAGTATTTTCGAACCCGTGCGTCAGCGCCGTGCCCATGCTCCAAACCGCTTATTAAAACGCAGAGGAGCCAAGTGCCATGAAGACAGAATGCAAGCAGCATGTTATTCTTTCGAAGAGGTGAACAGGCTTAGATCAATGGCGGCAGCGGTTTCCTCTCACCACAACTATGATGCTGTAAAGCGCAAGGAGGCATGTGGCTCCAACCCACACAGTCACAGAAATTAACTATTCCAGGGGCCTTTGAATGAGGCTGCCAAGAATAATTTCCCACATGTAGCAGTTCCCACAAAAGCCACAAAAGCATACTGGCACACTTTAGTCTCCTCTACACCCTGCATGCCCTCCCTGGGATGACTCAATAGAATCAATAAAACTTCAGCTCTGCTGCATCATTAAGAGGTCATGATTAAGTTTAGAAAGCAAGGATGAGTTTTTTCCTTTGGCACGTTAATGGTGCATGTATGTTGTTTCACAAAAGGATTAAAAGTATGTGGTCACACTTCATACTATGACTTCAATCATTTCTGCACCAGTAGCTCACAATGAGGGATAAGAGAGAAGAAGCACTTTGAATACAATACAAATGTTGTTCTTTACAACATTCACTGTATATCTGCTGATCGTGTTTGGTGCAAAATCCCAACAGCCTCCAGTCTGGGCCCCTGAGCAAGACCCTTAACCCCTAAATTGCTCCCTAGGCCCCACAAAGTGACTGGCCACTGCTCCCCAAAGGGATGGGTTAAGATGTAGAAGTGAATTTCTCCATTGTAAGATTAATGATGTTTAATTATTATAAAAGGAAATAAATCAGATTCAAAAAGACTAAGTAAACACTATCAGGATGAAAGATGTATTTTTCTTAATGTGAAGATGAATATAGAGTTGGTGAGAAGATGACAGGAGCTAAATAGAGGACAATCCTATGTTACAGGCTTCTAAGTGAGTTAAAACAAGGGTTCAGATTGATGTTCCAGTAGAACGTTACTAAACATACAGCCAGCATTACAATTCATTGGTTAAGATCAAAGCATATGAATGTCATAAAATACCACAGTCAAAGCGCAGGACTAAATCCAATTAGGGATCCAATGTTCAATATGCTTTTCATCCAATCTCACTAAGCTTGATCTATTACACATTGGAAAACCTTTGATTCAAAGAGGTGCAAAGTAGCTGCTAGAAACTTACCTCAAACAATCTAAAGCATTAACAGAAACCACTGGTGGTTTTCAGAGTGCACCAACTCACAGTGATAAATACTAATGTAGGATAAACTTTCCAGAGTTTTTGTTGAAAAAATAAAACCTATTTTAACTTCATTTTTGTAATTATGCTCTATTTATTGCATGATGTGATATAAAATCCCTATGAGATTTATTGAATTTTCTATTTGTAATATAGAAACATGAAAAAAAATAAACTTTGAAGAGTTTGAAAGTTTTACAAGATGTTTTAAATGTATGGTGCAAAAAAAAAGAGGCTTCAGGGGAAACTTTTTCATTTCCAAGACTAATTATTTTACATTAAATGAATAACTGGCTGTTACTCTGCTGTTATTTCAGTAAAGTATGTGTTAAAATCGACGATGGGTTGGAACATCCTCTGCTTCCTCCTACATGTACAGTATGGACCATTTACAGTACACTAGATTAAAGTGTGATCTCTCCTGAACCTTATGTGTTGACATCAGGAGCAACCAATGTAAACACATTTGCATATTGGGATCCAAGTTACCAGTAACCTCTGTTTCAAGATGAAATTGTAAAAGATGTAAATGGATCAGCATCTTAACCCTTTCATTGGTCAGTGATGACTCACCAGGGACGACTGAGGAATAGCAGCTACAGTACAATCTAAAGATTGATTTTTCATCTAGGATTATTGTGGCTCTCTGCTGCAAATAGTTCTACACAACAGAAAAGAATAATATATATATATATATATATATATATATATATATATATATATATATATATATATATGATAATAAAATGTAAAGTGTTTAAAAGGATTAACTGCATGGGTTTTTAATGTATGTTTAACAATCATGATAACCTATCCTTATATAGACCTACATTAGAGACTTCTGACCTTATACCCCTTCATGGAGGCTATGGTCTCAGAACGTGAACCTGCACATGGTCCCTCGTACTCGCTACAGGACCAGGGGGGATCGTTTTAGGCGGTCTCACCGGAGTAATTTTGTCATTTATAATTTTTTGCCAAAAAGGGCAAAACATTTTTTTATTTTGTGTATATTGCTGAGTAAAAAAATCGATTTTGAATCGATTCCTTTACATTTTTGCAAAATCGATGTCTAGGGAATGAGATCCATTAGTTTTATAGTGACGTGCGTGACATTCACATTCAAATGAGCAGGAAAGATGCACTCAAAATACTTCAAAGCCAGAGAGCTGCAAATGCAGCTAATAGGTTGATTGAAGACATTAACAAATGGAGGCTGACCAGCAAACACCCTGTAGTTGTTACAGACAACGCTGCAAATATGGTTTGTGCAGTGAAGTTAATGCAGCTCATGCATGTCTGCTGTGTCCCCGCTGTGTCACGTCTGCTTGCTCGAGTGAGGTTTCACTTTTCACAAACAAGTTTACACATTTGAGACAGTTGTGTTCACATCTCAAGTTTAAACTCTCCGATTTACAAGTTTGCACTTTGTGTTTAATATGACAGGAAAATTTAAATACATAAGTGTTTTGAAACACAGTTGAACCACTTTCATTATTGTAAAAACAGATCGAATCGAAATTAATCGACTTAGAACTGTATGAATCAAAATCGGATCGATTCAGGACTTTGGCGAAAATACCCTGCCCTATTTGTGAAGCACTTTGTGACCTCCATGTCTGTAAAAGGTGCTATATAAATAAACATTACTTATCGAAAGAAAGCAACACAATCTTTAAGTAGATCAAATTTGGTTTAATCTGGCATCATGTTATCATCAGGGAAAAACTAGTCATTCCTTTTTTAATGACCTTGTAGATGCAGTATAAATGTACACAACTCAGCTCTTTCCATATATTACATATTTACAAATATAAATCCAAGCCCAAATCGACAGTATAATTTACATAAGGCACAAACTGTTAAAGAACAACATAATTTGCTGCAACATAAAGTTTATTCGGTAAAATCTCCCAGTAAAAGAGCAACAGAACAGCTGCAATGGTAAAAATACTTTAAAGGAATTTATAACTTTGCCATGCATCATGTTGAACTAAAAAAGAAAATAAATAGCCTAAAACACTGTTCTCCTACCAACCTCCACTAAGGATCTGATCGGAGTTATATCTGTAGAGGTTTTAGGCAAGTCAGATAACTGTATATTAGGTGAAGCATGTCTGATCAGTTAAACCATCCTTGGGTAAAATAGTGTAAAATATAAAAGCTTTATCCTGGCTGCCATCAGCTGCAAAGAAGCTGCAGTTCACTGGAGTTGTAGTTCAAAGCAGGTGCTGCTAAATCTGTCCCTCCGATGGCATCCTGTCCTCTGATCTTCAGATTGACAAACTTTATCTTCCAACTGTTTTCATTCAGGGGTGAACGGATAAGGCCGAATATTTGCTCAAAGATCCCAAGACAGGTCTGTTCTCTGTGGATGGTCCCGGCCACACCCACCAGCACCAAGCCATGGGGCGAGGCCAGGGCTCTTAGGCCATTGAGATCCAGGTTGGGACTGAAGAGGAGGCGCTCAGCGCTGGTCAGGGCCAGGAGACGGAGGCTGACCAGTTCAGCCCCCAGGAACTCCTCCATCTGCTCAGTCGTAGCTCTTAAAAACACAAAACACATTGGAAATTAATTTCCCTTTAACCACAAATAATTTTCCCTCCATTGGTTTAATAATCATACCTGGAGAGAAGGCGTAATTTCACATCTGGCCAGAAATGCTGTGGCCCCCATTCTTGAGGCTGTTGGCTCAGCGAAGGGTTCTGACTGTTCAGGATCTGAAAGAACCACTGACAGAACTGCTGTCCCAGGGTGAGTGGATCAAAGCCAACCTTGCTGTTTATGTCATTGGAATCCGATGTTTCGGGCTGATGCTGCTTGGTTTCATCCACCTTTAATGAGTAACAGAGCTGTGTCACACATTGCGCTTGACTCAACTTTCAGCTGAGAAATATTTTTGTAAGAATATAAACAATAAATCTAAAAAAAACCAGTTGATTTAATGCAACTGTGGCGATTTTTCTAAAGAAAAAATAAGCGTCTCATCTTGTTAGAGTTAAAATTATTTTGCCATAAAACTGTATTATAAAAATCACAGTAATTCAAAGATCTTAATTGGCACTTAAAGCCCTGTTCTTTCTAATGACAGGTTTCACCTTAGTGTTTTTCATTGGTATTCATTACCTTATTTCACACATTGACACACAACCACAGAGTTACGTTTATTTAAATCAGATTTTATGGAGTAGAAAAAGAAGAAGTGGCAGATATGGTAGAATGAAATAAAACAGAGTACAGTAAAATACGTTATTATGTAATTAAATGTATCATTAAAATATGAAGTAGAGAATTGAATGATAAAATGTCTCATTAAATAATTAACTAAAAATAATGACATTCAATTTGCAATTAAGCAACTTTTTAGTACCTAAAAGGGCATATCATGTCATAAATTAAAGGCTTTTTAAGGGTACAATGTTCCTAAAAATGCTAAATAAATAGGAGTAAATGTATAACGCTTCCCTAAAGTAAATGTATATGAAAGTACATTCATATAGCAGCAAGCGGCCTTTTAAAAGAGGGGCTCTGACATAAAACAAACGAACGAACGAACGAACGAACGAACGAACGAACGAACGTCAAAGATAATCAGTTCCCAGAGGAAGAACTGCTGAGTTCCTATAGATGACAGTTCATGCTGAAAGATCTTCAGTTCTAACAAAACTGACTGGTGTGACATCATAGCTCCTGCATGATGAATAACATAGATGTTTGGGGCCTGTTCCCAATGCAGGCAAATGTGTCCTAAGTCTGAATTATCTGGTGTCACAGAATCAGTTCATGCTGTTTGGGGCACATGGAAAAGTTCAACTTATGCCTGTATGGGACTTGTTCCTAAAATAAAAAAAAAAGGGGTATTGTGACTATAGTTATCAGTTCCCATGGGAGAGACTAGGATGACATCCTAGACAGGGGGTCCGTGACCTCTAGGGGTCCACGAAGGTACTGCATGGGGGTTGCAAAAGATTTGGTTGATTAGACTTTTTTTTTTTTTTTTTTTTTTTATTCCCCTTGCATTTTTTTCCACTAATTGAAATGTCTTTAAATCCACATAAACACGAATTCAAAACACTGCAGTAAACAGATAAATGGAGGCAGAAGATGTCTTTCAGTCATCAATGCACACATTCAGCGACACACAGGAGCTCTTTCAAGCTGGGTACCATTTTATTCACAACACCTGTCCCATCCACCAGGAATCAGAGTCAAAAATACTTTAATAATCTCAGGGCGAAATTACTTTTGTTACATTAATCCATCTGTAATACAGTGACAATAGGACCAATTTAATATAACACAATCTCATACAATTTATACAATTAGGGGTCCTTGGCCTGGAAAACTTTGAAGACCCCTGGTGTATAGCACATGTCAAACTCAAGGCCAATGGGCCAAATCAAACACATCATGGCAATTTATCCATCCCTCAGCAGTAAAGGAAAATGTTGAATTTAAAAAAAAAATTAATGGCTGCAACTGTCTTTTATAAAGGGGACATTGTGTAAAAGTTTATCTTTTTTACTTCCTGAAATCAAGTTTACATATCTGTAGTTATTGGTGTGTTATTACCTTCACTAATAATCACACACATTTTCATAAATGAAGAATTTTATATTAGTTTACCCATAAGGCTGGTCAACCGTTTATGAAGCGCCATGACAGTCTGCCATCATTGATGTACAGATGCCGGTGAGGGACAAAATAGTTCTAACAGGCGGAATAACAACGTGTTTCCCCTTGATGATAGTTCAGTGTGATTGAGAGGCAGCAGTGAAAATCATTCGGAGATGCTAACCCAACAAAATGCAGGAAACTGGAGACATTTAAATACAAGATTAAACACCAGGTAATGCAGGAGCTAATGAAGGACAAAGGTTTTAAAAGAGATGCCCACATTCTTATCTTCACAGAGTACATGTCAGACTAAATAATAGTACTTCAGCGATGGTTTCAAGCTGTTGCTTTATTGTATGTCTCGTACCATGTCTTTCGGTTGTGCTGTTCTTTTTGCATCTCGTTGCAGGTGATGAAGCAAACTGAAAATGTTTTGTCATTGTCTCCTTTCTATCTCCTCTTTCTTTCATCTTTTCTCTTTTTTTTCTTTTTCTTCTTCTGTTTTTCCTCTTCTGTTCTATTTACATTGCAGTGTCCATATAAACTGTAAAACTCCCTGCATAATTATAATAAAGCAATTTATATGCATAAAAAAAGTGGAGCAATATGGCAATAGTTCTACTGCTCCACTTGTGAAAGTAAAATCTGTTGGGCTCTTTTTGGCATCAAGACAATTATTCTTATTGCCACATTGCCAGAGAGGACGCTGTTAAAAAAAATAAATAAAAAATAAAAATAATAAAAGAGATGCTGAAGTTACCATGATTGTGCTGCCTAAATTAGCATAAAGCTAACTTTTTCCCCATACAGTTTTATTGGCCAGTGTTATTGTTTACCATAGAAAGCATAACAGTAGATCCTGCTAATGTATAATAATCATGTTGGTACAGAATCTTAGGTTTATGTGGATTTAATAGCTTTCAAAGCTTACACAACTTTGAAAACTGGCTTTTTCCCCACAGTAAATGCCAACTTCAGAAGACATGCTTACATCTGTGTTGTTGAGGTTTTTTAAACATGGTGGAACCCTGTTACTGCATTACATGTTCATTTGAGTGAAATACCCCAATTTCACTCGTAGATAACAGTAATTCCTATACAATATCCCTTTAAATAATTGTTTAGGCCAAAGTGGCCAGATAAAAAAAATGAATTTGACATTCCTGGCTTAGAGCTATAATTGAATAGATTGGTTAAATGCTTAGTATGGACCAAAGATAAGACCTAAAGCAAGATTTCAAGCAAATGTTAACCGACATTCTCCATCTAGTCTGACTTGGCTTATGCTTTGAATTGAAGCTTGGCATAAATTCTGCCCATGGATGTGCATCTGTACTTTTATCAGCTGGTGGTGCCTTCATGGTATGAAGTCAGCAAAGAAAGATGCTAGATATCTAAAATAAAGGATTTTCTATAGCAGAAATTTTTAAAACTGCATTACTCTGAGAGGGTTTATGGATGTAGTTGAATTAGTTTTTAATTTCCCATTCCTAATGGATTAATTTTTACTTCTGTAAGCCAGTAAAATATGGAGTCTTCTTTCAGCCAGCTGATTAGTAGCTTAGCAGGTAGAGAAAAGGAATTCAATGATTTGATTGAGTCCCTCCAGTTCTTTCTCTGGCATCTTACTGAATGGCTATAAAGTTTTGCATGATGCCACATACTTTCAGTTATTAGTAACATATTTCACAGGCCTGAAATTGATGGACACTTGATTAAAAACACAATTAAATAATGCTGAAACTGCTTGTAGAGGAGACAAATGTATACTTTTGAATCCTTCTGCAGATCAGTTTGAAAGCTGAAAACAACCAGATTTGAATTCACTTCAAAAAGCTTTTAATGAAGTTTATTTCTACCAATTATTGCTTATGCAAAAATAGCTCAGTCATGTTGAAAAGCAAATTCGGTTAAAAAGTTGCATCATGTTATTAACCATGTGTTTTTTTCATTAGCGTGTAACCATGGTAACAGGTTAGCATCACATTTTTATTAACTAAAGAGACCAAGACAAGAGGATTCTACCAAAAATTAACCAAATATTTAACTGATTTGCTTGTAATCAATAGATGATCAAAAAGACTTCCTCTTTATATTCGTCATCTTTATATCTATGAATTCCTAAGTATTTTTTAACAGGTATACCATATAGAGACATTTCTGTGCCTACCGTGACTGATGACCACAGCTCCAGCGTCCTCCTCACCAACTGGTGCTTCTCGCTGGATGGAGGCATCATCACTCCTTCTTTGGCTAAATATCTAAAGATGAGGTCACGGTGAACCTTCCGCCTTCTAAGGAGCTCTTCTGCATTTTTGGAGAAGCTTAGGATCGTCTCCATAGCCTCTGTATAAGATATATACACAATATACAAGCAAAGTCGTTGCTCTAATGAATAAAATGACAATTGAAATTATTTTTTCCATTTTCAAAGTCGTCGTTAGCTCGAATATTTTGGAAAAGTTATACAATAAATGCCATTTTTTTCTGCATTTATATTGAGATTTTTAACAGATTTTTCGTCATCGAACAGGACGAGGCTTCCTTTCCTTACCTGTCATGTTTTCCACAACTATCATCTTATTAGTGACCGTGTCGCTGAGTGACAGTAAGTCAGCTTCTGTCATTGAGCTCAGTATCATTTTAAAGCCAACCCGCTCAGTTTCTGAAAGTCCTGACATTTTCTCTGAACTAATATTTAGGGCTTTTCGCCCATTTATGTCCTACTGGGATATTTGTCCGTACAGAAACACGTATGGACCAACAGTGTTCCTAGTAATACACATTTTCCTAGGGTGCTGTGTCGATTCTTATCCACCAGGTGTCCTCATTACCCAAGAAGTTATTTTACTTCATAGTGAATATTTTTCTTTCCTTATTTTTTTTT